GTATGCTTTTATCTTCTAGAACATCTAATAACACTTTTCAATTATTTAAGTAGTAACATACGGATGTTGTAAAGATGTGTCTAAGTTTAATTGATCTTTCCTTTTGGTTAATGGGGGGTTGGATGGCTGAATGGTTAGCGTGAGCGCGCTGTATCATAAAGTCTGTCATTGAGTCGACTGGCGTGGTTTCGAATCCCTGGTTGAACGTGACAAGGAGTAGGGTCGCCTGTCCAACCTCGTGGGTTTTCTCCGGGTCCTCCGGTTTCCTCCCACTGCTAAAAGACCCCTACGCGCAAGCGAATTATTGAAATAAAATTTTAAAAAACCCTATGTTAGTCCCGAAATGACCTAGTTTGTGTCGAGTGGACGTTAAACCCCATTTCTCTCTCTCTCCCTTTTGGTTAATTGTTCAGTTCAGGAATTTGGGGTATCTAAGGTGTATTGGGTATCTTGTTACAGCTATTAAACAGTTCAGTTCCAACTGCCCAGATATATTAATTGATTCTCCGGTGTATTCACTCATACTGTATACCAGTAGAACATGTGTTTTAATTATGATTCAGGCATGATCAAGTTTCGGTCAATTTCAAGTTGTTAAAGAAAGTTGTGATGATGAATTTAAGAACGATATATATATGTCTCCTTACACTTTAAATGTTGGTTCTAGGAAAAATGATAAAAGATGCATTATTCAAGAGATAGATTTGCCTTATGTGAATCTCTCTTTAGGCTATAAATGTTAAATTAGACATTTATTAGAATGACAAGAACATAATCAACTCTCTAAAACATTGCTTTTTATTTTCAACTGATTTAAACAAACGATTGGCGGTTAATGATTTAATTAAAAAATAGATAATCAAGACTTTGTTTACTATCAAACAAACAATAAAAATGACATTCGAGGCTCTACTATTCTGTCGCCTGTCCAACCTCGTGAGTTTTCTCCGGGTCCTCTGGTTTCCTCCCACTGCTAAAGACCCTTATGCGCAAGCGAATTATTGAAATAAAATTAAACCATATGTTAGTCCCGAAATGACCTAGTTTGTGTCGAGTGGATGTTAAACCCCATTTCTCTCTCTATATTATTCTCTAAACAGCCCAACCTTAGCTCAGAATGAAGTAATTTGACTGAAATTTTCAACATTCCCTTTTGATTATCAATTTTGGTAACTATTTACAGCCAGAACTGTCAGCTCTTTATCTGAATCTTACATAATGCATCTTTAATTAGTATAGAATTTTCCACTCTCTCACAGTTAACCATGAAAATAAGAAATCCTACCTATCATCAAATTTGAGAGAGAGAGATATGGGGTTTAACTCTACTTGACACGAACTAGGTCATTTCAGGACTAACACATGGTTCAATTTTATTTCTAAAATTCGTTTGCGCGTAAGGGGTCTTTAGCTGTGGGAGGAAACTGGAGGACCCAGAGAAAACCACCAAGGTTGGATAGGCGACCCTACTCCTTGTCACGTACAATCAGACCATATGATACAGCGTGCACATGCAAACCATTCGGCCATCCAACCCCCTATCAAATTTCAACTGCCAGAGTTCTTATACATGTATATCAACATGTACACAGGATCCCTTCCAAGCAATTAAAGATACATTATGTAAGATTCAGATAAAGAGCTAGCCATTCTTGCCATAATAGTTTGAAATAAATATATTGAAAATTTCATTAAAATTACTCTATTGTGAGCGAAGATATTAGCCTTTGAAGGTCTGACAAGATGTGTTCATTAATTGTAACCATCGTACTGGTTGTTCGAATCTAAGCTTTGCTTCTCAATTTTTAAATTAAATCAAAATATGGCTGATCCGGTCTAATCTACTCAATAAAGGTTTAATTGATGCTGATGGGCTATAGAACTCATAATATAGCCTAATTGAGTCTGACATCCTGTACAATTCATGATATAGCCCAATTGATAGCCCATGACATAGAAGTCATAATATAGCCCAATTAATGCTGACATGACATAGAACTCATTATATAGCCCAATTGATGCTGACATTCGATCTGGGTTATTTATATATACATCAATACAGCCCAATTGATGCTGACATGCAATAGAACTCACATTCCATGTCTTTACAGTAAAGTATAATTATTCTAGAAAAATGTGAGAACTTGGGGTTGAGTTATTTATATATACATGATATATTTTTGGCACAATTACATCCCTTTTATGCTGAAGGGTCATAGGACTCTCAGTGTAGCTTAGTTGGGTGCTGATGGACTGTTAACTTCTTTTGAAGGCGGGTGTATTGGGTAGCCAAGGGATTTAACATGTTTTACAGTTTTCATTCCCAGTTTAAACTTGATAATAGGGTCACCTACATAATCTTGGTTTTTGTTAGGCCCGAAATGACGCAATTTTGAGTGACCGTTAAACCGAATCTCTTTCTTTTTTATTGCTGTAGAGGACATGTTTGGCTGAGTGGTCAACATCGTTGGTTTTCTTTGGGTCCTCCAGTTTCCTCCTACTGCTAAAGACCCCTACGCGCAAACCTAATATTGAAATAAAATTGTTACATATGTTAGTCCCAAAATGACCTAGTTTCTTTCAAGTGGATGTTAAACCTCAAAAGAAATATTGAAATAAAATTGTAACATTTGTTAATCCCAAAATGACCTAGTTTGTTTCAAGTGGATGTTAAACCTCCCTCCCTCTCTCTCTCTCTCTCTCTCTCTCTATCTCTCTCTCTCTCTCTCTCTTTCTCCCTCCCTCTTTATTCTTTATTCTATGTGTTGTAGTGAACACAAATAAAGAATGGTGGATATATCAGCCTGCTACATGTATATTTATAGTTATCTATATTAGACCCACCTAGAGAATCAAATAACCTTCTATATACCTTCTATATACCTGCACTCAGGTGTTATACAGGTGTCACATTACATGAAACATACAACTGATTCCTTATAGACGTCTTTGAATGAATCATATGACTTTCCACAAGCCTACGCACCTTTTATCTCACTAATTATAATTAATTTATTGAGATACATAATGTAAATAGTTCATTTGGGTAGAAACCAGTCTGGTACATTTTATTTAGAGTTCCATGAATACAGGCCTGAGAAGTGAGCTATCAGATTTCAGGTATATTTGATATTAGTGTTATGTTGCATCTACTACTACTGCTGCCTTGTCAAAAGGAGGTGTAGTTTTGTTGTGTGGCCAAATTGTACACGTATCACTACAAGGGTGTTTTGGATAATAATGTCTGTCATTATGTGGAGCAGTGTGGTTTCAGTTCAAATCGTGTATATTTCCACCCACTGCTATACACCTATGTTTGAGTGAATTTCTGTTGAGTGGAGGTTAAAACTCTCTCTCTCTCTCTCTCTCTCTCTCTGTCAAATGCTGGTTATACAAGTCATTCAGGAAATTAAAAATTTTCATCTGTAAAATGAAATGAAATGTTGTTTAACGTTCTACTGTTCTGGTGGAGGAACCACTTGAAAATCATGATGAACACAGGACCTCCAGTTTACAAAACCAATGTCTGTCCTACCCACTGAGCCTCTGTGGCTCCTTTTTCATCTGTACTAGTCTCCATCTTGAAACAAAATGAAATGAAATGGGGTTTAACGTCCTACTATCTTGAAACAAACACGATAGTACAAAAAGATATCTTACAAAACTTAACATAGACGTACACATGTAGGTGTAATCGAGGTTGAAATATGTCTTCATAATCACACAACCAGCTGCCAATTTATACAGATGTTTAGTTTGTAAATTGTAAGTAACTAAATCTATTACGATGTTGAGAAATTTTTATGGCTGTTTTGTTTTCTTCAAGCTTGCATATTGTTTATAATTCAAGAATACTGTTATCTGGTACAAGGAAACATTATATTTACATTTTACGAAAAACCTCAACAAATATTTCACCTCTTTGAGTCATATTTTACCTCTTTGAGTCATATTTTGAAGTATAGAAGGTATATTTATAGGTATAGCATTTTTTGAACTGATTCCAAATCATTGTCAGCCATTTTGCTTGGTTCATGTAGTCACCATCTTGAATGAATTTTATCAGAGTGGATTTGAACCATTGTACACCTCATCTTTCTACTGTAAGGGGTGGGTAAGGAGCTGGCTCGCTAGCCTGGAGGTCGGGTGTTCGATCCCTGCATTGGCCGAGAAAGTTCATCCCGATTTTCCAACGTGGTTTCTCCTTGTCAGTGATGCAGGACGGAGGGCCTGACAAGGACAGCTGTCTAGTCCTTCGGATGAGACGAAAAACGAGGTCCCGTGTAAACATTGGAATGCACGTAAAAGATTCCTTGGCAGTTGGAATTCGATATAAGAGTAGGCCGTAGTGCCGCTGTCCGGGCAAAATTTCCCTCATAGCACACTGTCTGTGTTAAATGTCACATGGGTCATGTTGAGACTAACATGTGATTGTTTTTAATTACTGTTGGTGTGTACAATGCTAGAGACTGGGGAAACAATTTTTATCGTTTTTATACGCCCACATTGAAATGTGGTTGTATATTGTCGTTGCTCCCATTCGTCTGTCGGTCCGGCGATCACAATTGCTTGTGGACGCTCTACAGACTAAAGTGAATATCCGATTGACTTTAAATTTATACAAAGATCATGTGACAAAGAAACCTAGTGATTTTCAACATTTCCGATACTTATTGCCAAAGTTATGGCCCTTGATCACTCTAAAAAATCTTGGGGATGCTCTTAGAGGCTAAAGTTAATATCTGATAGACTTTAATTTAAATTAAAACACAATTCTTACGGTCTAGAGGCTTAATAGAAATGAGAGAAGCCTAGTCAAATTGTATCCTGTCAGTACAAGACAGGTGTAGCTCATTAAATCCAGTTGCACAGTAAAATGTTTGTTTTACGTGTACGTAAGTCTTATTGGTGCTTTGTGACCCTGACCTTGATAATAATATTGTAAATCATTATTTTGTTGTGGAATATCAATATTAACTGTTTTTTTAATTTATTTTCAGAATCGAAAGGAGACCCTAAAGGTAAGCAATTTAGAATATTAAAAACTTTAATAGCCAGATTCTTAAAAGCTGATTAGAGCTAAATGTATATTTAGTAAAAATTTAATTGTTCTGGGCTCTGTCTCTAATGAGGGGGGGGGGGCAAAATGGTTGTATCATAAGTCAACAGGCATGGTTTTGATTCCCTGGTTGTACGTGACACGGAGCAGGGTCGCCTGTCCAACCTTGTGGGTTTTCTCCAGGTCCTTTGGTTTCCTTCCACTGCTAAAAACCCCTTTGCATAAGCGAATTATTGAAATTAAACCCCACCTCTCTCTCCTCTCTGCCTCTAATGGTAAGTGCAGGATGATCGCACCACACAATCCATTAGACAAATCCTCGGACAAGACAGAAACTACATAGACATTGCAAGAAATGATCCACAAACGTATGTTTCAAATCAAGTGAATGCAGGACAACCTATAAGTATAATACAAACCACTGGACACAGAGCCGGGGCCGAATTTGGCAGGCCCGAATATACTGCCTGGAATTTTTTTAAGTTGGTGAATTGCAGCGCCCCTTTCTGTGTTGGGGCCCACATTGGGGAAATTGGCCAAATGTGCCAAAAACTGGCCCTAGTCGGACAAGACAGAAACTACATCTTGCAGGTTTCAAATGAAGTGAATGCATCCAAGGGACCAAATGTGAGCGTCCACAGCGCTGTAGAAGGAGCTTTCATATCCTTGATAAATGTATGACTAAATGTTGTAACTTGTAATATGCCATTGGTTCTTTGTTAGAACATCTGATACCACTTATAGGTAATATTATTTTGTATGTAAAACATTTTCTATAATTTGAAATTAAATGAAATATCCTACTTTTCTGCATCAACCGGGCTAAGGAAGAGGAACCTAAGTCATCTAGCCTCGGCCGTATGACGAATTTCGCCATTGGAATTACTTCAAGTTCCCGGATTACCAACGGCGTTGCCCATGACGACGCCTTTGAAGAATGTTTTATCATACATATATTTCAAAGTCTGAAGCAGTTTTTCTTTCAAGTTTATCCTATTTTCTTCAAACAATGACAACTTAATTTGCACTGAAAATTCTACACACGCTTCGAATGACGCAATTTTGATAACTTCTTTTTAACAGCGGCAAGTTTTCCTAATAAGTAAACCGGTGGCGCATCGCAATTGTATAGGCGTAGGTACATATCACTTACCGTCATACAGCCGAGGCTAGATGTAGAGTTAATGAATCTGCCGAGGTTTGCCCACTGACTTAATATTAGTAGTATGTACACAGCACCTCTGTTTATCGGGAGGGGGGGGGGAGTACCCTAGTGGTTTAAGGTCCATCAATGAGTCAAGTGGTATGGTTTCGATTCCCCGCTTGTACGTGACAAGGAGTAGGGTTGCCTGTCCAGCCTCCTGGGTTTTCTCCTGGTACTCTGGTTTCTTCCCACAGCTAAAAACCATATCTTAGTCCCGAAATGACCTAGTTTATATTGAGTGGGTGTTAAACCCCATTTTTCTTTCTCTGCTCTGTCAGCTGGCGTGGTTTCGATTCCTCGCTTGTACGTGACAAGGAGTAGGGTCGCCTCGCCTGTCCAACCGCGTGGGTTTTCTCTGGGTTCCCCAGTTTCCTCCCACTGCTAAAGACCCCTACGCACAAGCGAATTATTGAAATAAAATTGAACCATATGTTAGTCCCAAAATGACCTAGTTTGTGTCGATTGGACGTTAAACCCCATTTCTCTCTCTTTCTCTCTCTTTAAATATTTTATGTTAAAATTAATTTTTAGCATCTGTCACCAGAATGATATATTGTTTAATAGGTATATTTATTTCAGACAAGTATATGTATATATTATGTATATTTAACATGTTGAATACATCACATGTTTATATGTGACTCATATAAAGGTTATTCTCTAAATATTTTTCACAATTTTGTGATGATTGAAATTTAGTAATCGATGAAAGGAGCTTTGTTTTTGGAATTATAGTTTTATGTGATTACTCATATATAAATGTCATCATTTAATTTTGTTTCAAAATTTGTGTGCGCGTTTGAATTCGTTACATATAAATGTTATTGTTAAATTTGGTTTTGAAATTTTGTGAGGATTGGAATTCGTTAATCAGTGAATGGAAGTTTGTGTTTGGAATTATAGTTTTATGTGGTTTCCTATGTAAATGTTATTGTCAAATTTGGTTTCAAAATTTTGTGAAGATTGGAATTTGTTAATTAGTGAAAGGACGTTTGTGTTTGGAATTTTATTTGTAATTCCTGACACTAATAAATGGGTTCCTGACATTTTGAACTTAGTGATGGACATGTAGTAAAAATATCAGCTATAAAATTAAGAAAAAGACACATTTGTGTATGATATAATGACATGCACCAGAGGGATTGTGATTGAGAAAGCTTGATTTTGACCTTGACAATACGTTTTATGGATAGGGTAGTAGTGCTATCAGGCTGACATGTTTTCTGTTCAAATTTTTAATTAATTTGTTCAGGCTTGTGGTGGGGCTGGGGTGGGGAGGGTGTCCGAATGGTTTAACGGGCTCGTGTTAGATCATAAGGTCTGTCATCGAGCCAAGTGGCGTGTTTTGATTTCCCGCTTGTATGTGACAAGAGGTAGGGTTGCCTGTCCTCCCGTTTCCTCCCACATCTAAAGACACCCTGAGCAGTTGAATTAATGAAATAATATTGAACAATATGTCCCAGAATTGTGTCAAGTGGACGTTAAACCCTCTCTATCTCTCTCTAAGTCGGCGACGACGTGATGTAATTGTGTCAGAATGTACAACCTATTTTTTTAACTGATTCTGATTTCAAATACCTGCCATTTTGCCTCTTAAAGAAAACTCTTCAAAGAATGTAGATTGAAAAAAATGTTGGAAGATCACATTTTCACACCATTTTGAAAATCTGCCTCGTTTGTTTCACTACCATGAGGAATTTGTGGTCAGGTTAACTGGTGATTGAAATGATACAGATGTTTAAACTCATGGAAAGGGTTATTATATTGTTTAACATGTTGCATCATACGGGTCTGTCAAGTTACAGGTGATGTGGTTTTGATGACCCGCTTGTACATGATGAGAAGTAGGGTTGCATGTCCAACCTTGTATGTTTTTATGGGTCCACTAGTTTCCTCCCACTGCTAGAGAATTATTAGAAAATAAAATTGAACCATATGTTAGTCCCGAAACAACCTAGTTTATGTCGAGTGGACGTTAAACTCTCAGATGTTTAAAGGGAGGGAGAGGGTTGTATTGTTTAAGATGTTGCATCATACAGTCTGTCATAGAGTCAAGTGACGTGGTTTTAATGCCCTGCTTGTACATGAGGAAAAGTAGGGTTGCCTGTCCAACCTCATATGTTTTTATGGTTCCTCTGGTTCCACTGCTATCGAATTATTAAAAAATAAAATTGAACCATATGTTAGTCCGGAAATGACCTAGTTTATGTCGAGTGAAAGTTAAACCCCACTCCTCTCCCTCTCTCGAGATTTTATTTTGAATTGTAAATTTTGTTTGATTTATTTCAATCTAAATTAAGAATGGAAGTTTACCTTATTTGGTCTGATATTCATTTTAGTTGTAAATATCTAGTCTGGTAAGGTCATGTGGAGGGAGCCACCGTGGGTAAGTGATTAAGAAGCGGGCTCGCTTGCCTGGAGGTGGCGTATTCGATCTCTGCATTGGCCGAGAAAGGTCGTCCGGATTTTCCGACGTGATTTTGTTTTATTTTTTTTTATCTAAATTAGTTATCTTCTACATCAAATAATAAGTAAGAAAATAAGGTTAAAATAAGGTCTGGAGAATAAAAAAACTATTTGATTTTACTATAAACTGCATCTTATATTTATTAAGAAAATACAAAAGTATTTTAAGTGTTAGGATAATAAATTTACATGTAGACAGGGGAATAAAAAGACTATTTATTTTTAAAATATTATTTTATTTTTTAAATCTAAATTAATAACCTGCATCTCATATTTGGTTAAAAATACAGAAGTACTTTAGGTGTGAGGTTAATAAATTTACCTGGAGACTGAGGAATAAAAAGTCTATTTGATTTTTGTTTAAATTGTAAATTAGTAATCAACATCTTATATTTGGTTCGACAGCATAAAAGTATTTTTAGGTGTGAGGTTAATAAGATTTACATGGAGACAAATAAAAAGACTATTGTTTTATGTTTTAAATCTAAATTAATAATCTACATCTTATATTTGGTAAGACAATATAAAAGTATTTGAAGTGTGAGTTTAATAAGATTTACATGGAGACTGGAGAATAAAAAGTCCCAGCTTATCTCTAGAGGAGGCAGTGTAAACAAAGTGACATTTAATAGGTAGATAAAAGGGTTTAATGGCTTCTTAATCTATTATAATTAGGGACTAATTAACAAGTTTGAAGGTGAAAATTAAATAGGCCATTGTTCTAGAATATCATTATCAGGTAGGTAATAGAATTTATTTCGAATGTAGGTATAATATTCTTTTCAACAAGTCCGACCGAAATAATCCCTAGATTACAAGGGCTTAACAACTTCTCGTTTGAACAAGTTGTTTTCTTTTGTTTTTAGTATTTATTTAGGGACTGTTGATTTTTAGTTTTAGCCATTAGTTTCTACAGGTCGAACCTAGTTAGTGAGTTCACTTAAGTTTATTTGGAGGGGAGGATGTGATATTGACATGGTGAAGTTCTTGTGTCTATTTTGTGATATTTTGCGATAAAAAACATTGCTTTTTGATTATTCACAGCCAGAATCTTGCAAACTGACGATTTTTTTTGTGATATTTTTCTACCATTGGAAGTTGTTAGATGAAAAACATTGCTTTTTGATTATTCACAGCTAAAATCTTGAAAACTGACGATTTTTTTTGTGATATTTTTCTATCATTGAAAGTTGTTAGATAAAAAAACCTTGCAAACTGAGGATTTTTTTTGTGATATTTTTCAACCATTGGAAGTTGTTAGATAAAAAAACTTTGCTTTTTGATTCATTCAGAGCGAAAACCTTGTGAAATAAGGATTATTTTGTGATATTTTTCTACCAATGGAAGTAGTTTGATAAAAAACATTTTTTGATTCATTAAGAAAGTTTAAGACACCTAATTAAGGATTATTTTGTGCTATTTAAAGTTCCTGTACAACGTGTTCGACAGGTTTCAGTTATATGTTTTTGTGATAAAATTGTAGACTTTTACTGTAGAATCTGTACTGAATTATGTTGTAGTGAGTGTATGGTGTGGAGACCTGACTGGATGTCAAACTTTTCGTAGGAATACCTTTCCTCTTCAAATTTATATAAAATTCTTATTGGATATTCCAAGTTTCCTAGACTTGGACTTGGTTACTTCTATAGCGAGTGTATGGGGTGGAAACTTGAGTGGATGTCATACTTATGCTAGGAATACCTTTCCACTTCAAATTTATATAAAATTCATATTGGATATTCAAAGTTTCCTAGGCTTGGATTTGGTTACTTCTATAGCGAGTGTATGGTATAGGAACTGACTGGATGTCATACTTTTTCTAGGAATACCTTACCTCTTAAATTTATATAAAATTCTTATTGGATTTTCTAGGCTTGGTTAATTGTTATTAGACTTTCTTACTTTCCTAGGACCAGTTATACTCAGTATTTGTTTGAAGTAAAAAAAAGGTTTTCTACCATATTTGGTTTGAATTGATCAAGATAAAGGACTTTGTGATTGGATGAATTATTTTTATGATTACTTTTATCAGCATCAAATAACATTGACAATGAGCACGGTCTTACCCCTCCCCCCACGACGGGGACTCGGTAATTGGTATGGGGGATACATGCAAAAAATGAAAACTTCAAACCACGATAATTTTGACGGAATAGCAGCTAACTTTGATGTAGTTGGTAAGTTTGATGGTAACATCATGTAATATACCTGGTAAATTCAAGATACAATAGCGCAAGAGAAATTTGTTAGATATTAAACAAGCATTTATATGCAAGAGCTTAATCTTCCTATTGCAAGTCTTTCTATAGGCCTGAAATGTTATCTAAATTATTAATTAGATATTAATTAACTTATCCAGACCATAATCAACTCTTGATACCATGTTATGTGTCAGATTTTCTCTAGACTTGAATCCAATAATCGAGACTAGGTAATGATGATCGAGGCTAGACCTAAAATTCAATCGCTAATATCTTGGTTCAGTTTGGAGCAATTTGACTGAAATTGTCAGCATACATGTATTCCCTTTACATTATCTAGGTTTTAACTATTATAGTAAGAACTGTCAGCTCTGTATCTAATCTTCCATAATGTATCTTTAAACATATATTATACAAGAGCTAAATCTGTCTATTGCACGTCTTAAATGTTATTTAAACTATTAAACATGCATTATGCAAGAGCAAAATCTGCTTATTACAAGTCTTTCTTTAGGCCTGAAATGTTATCTAAATTATCAATTAGACATTAATTAACTTATCCAGACCATAATAAACTCTCGATGTCAAGGCTAGCCTTCGATGTAGGCTGGATTAGATTCCTATATGCCGCTAACGGCCAAAGATAATTAAATCAGAAAAAGTGGCTGTTTATATTAATGATTTGAGTAATGATAACCGAGACTATGCAAAAATTTCACCGGCTTCTTTCTCGGCTCATAGTGGATCAATTTGACTGAAATTTTCAGCAAATTATCTTTACACTATCTAGTTTTTAACTATTATAGCGAGAACTGCCATCTCTTTATCTTATCTCCCATAATGTATCTTTAATTGGACATTTTTTAACATGACAAGACCATAATCAACTCTCGATGCCATCGGATGGGTACAATTTTAAACATATTTGAATCCGATCTGCTATTCAACGGCTGTTAATGATTAACCTTAAAGTTACAATTTCATATTTTCTAAGAAAGTCTGGTTTCGAATCCCCAGTTGTACGTGACAAGGAGTTGGGTCGCCTGTCCAACCTCGTGGGTTTTCTCTGGGTCCTCCGGTTTCCTCCCACTGCTAAAGACCCCTACGCGCAAGCGAATTATTGAAATAAAATTAAACCACATGTTAGTCCCGAAATGACCTAGTTTGTGTCGAGTGGACGTTAAACCCCATTTCTCTCTTTCTCTCTCTCTAAGAAAGTCAAAACATAATTATTTCTATGTCTTTTGCTCAATGGGTTGTCAACTCACTATTATACGATCATAGGTTATCCTTCTCACACTTAAAAATCTTCACACCGGAAATAATAACACAATTACCTCCCTTGTTTTCCTATTCCCCACCATGGAATAGCTATCTTCAAATGTTTGAATTCTAAGTTGAAAATGATTTCTTTGCCAATTTCTCAACTGGCAATAGTGAATTATAGGATTAATAGGATTATTCTTTAACAAGGTAGGACTGTTTATAGATACCATCTATTTTAGGGCTTTATTTTAATACATTTTAAAAATATAACTTAAAAATATGAAATTGTAACTTTGAAAATGGATAATCACGACTTTGTTTATTATCGTAACAACAGTAACAATGACAATCAAGGCTACAGTGTTTTTGAAATTCGGTTTCCTCTTTTCATGGCTCGGAGTGAAATAATTTGACTGAAATTTTCGCCACATTATTTTTTATGTTATCTATTTTTTATGGCAAGAATAATCAACTCTTTATCTAATCTTACCTAATGCCTCATTAACTCCTCCAATAATTCAAAAGTGGTATCAGTTGTTCTAGAAAGGGGAAGCATGTATATATGTACAATTGTGAATGATTTTTGTATTTATTTGTAGGTGGGTCAAGTAGTATGAAAGTAAAACAGGAGACATCAACAATCACTTCTCCTAAAACGTAAGTTTCAATCAAATATCATCGGGTTACTTTTCAGTCACAGAGACAGTCCGGGTCTCTCTCTCAATAATATAAAAATCAAACAAGAGCAGTAACAGAGTGATTTTGTAACTCATGTGAAATTGAATGATTACAAAATCTAGTGCTGGGTAGAAGTTATTAGCATGTCAAGAGGGGCGGTCATATTCTGAATAGGCATTACCACAATAAATAATGACAAATGGGTATCTTCCTGAAAATTTTCAATTTTGAACAAGTGAATTTCTGTATATATAAATAAATATTAGACAATAATGTATATATTTATAGCATTATTAAGTCGAGAATAGAAATGAAATGGGGTTTAACGTCCTACTGTTCTGCTCCTCTCCTGGGCTAATGAAGACGGGCATACGCCATACAGTGTGCTATGAGGGAAATTTTGCCCGGGCAGCGGCACTATCGCCTACTCTTATATCGAATTCCAACTGCCAAGGGATCTTTTACGTGCATTCCAATGTTTACACGGGACCTCGGTTTTTCGTCTCATCCGAAGGACTAGACAGCTGTCCTTGTCAGGCCCTCCGTCCTGCATCACTGACAAGGAGAAACCACGTCGGAAAATCGGGATGAACTTTCTCGGCCAATGCAGGGATCGAACACCCGACCTCCAGGCTAGCGAGCCAGCGCCTTACCCATCTAGCCATCGTGGCTCCTCGAGAATAGATCTCTGTCCTAAATGGCAGCCATATCCAGCAATTAGTATACTGTTTCGTATCTGTTATACACAAAAAGACTAGTTAAACCTTTATTAAATATAAGCAGAATATATACTTTTCAATTCTCTAAGTATAGGGGGGAGGGGGGTTGGATGGCTGAATGGTTAGCGTGCGTGCGCTGTATCATAAAGTCTGTCATTGAGTCGACTGGCGTGGTTTTGAATCCCCAGTTGTACGTGACAAGGAGTAGGTCGCCTGTCCAACCTCGTGGGTTTTCTCCGGGTCCTCCGGTTTCCTCCCACTGCTAAAGACCCCTACGCGCAAGCGAATTATGTAAATAAAATTAAACCATATGTTAGTCCCGAAATGACCTAGTTTGTGTCGAGTGGACGTTATACCCCATTTCTCGCTCTCTCTCTAAGTATAGTTAATGTTTTCGACTAAAATTGTAGATTTGGGACTTGAAATGTGAGTAAACTAATTTAGTGTCTGTCTGTTCTCTAGCGGAGCTAACTGTAGACAGGCAGCCTAAGTTTAGTATGCATCCTACTAGCACCCATATACAGCTGGAACAACTAGTCTTATTCGAGCAGACAAGAACTTGACACAGAATTTGAGTCTTAATCAAAAAACCTTTTGGTTGAGTAAATTGGCGTGGTTTCGATTCCTCGCTTGTACGTGACAAGGTGTAGGGTCACCTGTCCAACCTCGTGGGTTTTCTCCGGGTCCTCCGGTTTCCTCCCACTGCTAAAGACCCCTACGCGTAATCGAATTATGGAAATAAAATTGAACCATATTTTAGTCCCGAAATGACCTAGTTTGTGTCGAGTGGACGTTAAACCCCATTTCTCCCTCTCTCTCTCTCTCTCTCTCTCTCTCTCTCCAACAACCATTTGGTCACATATCCCATTCTTTAACCACTGTGCCTAATTCCTGAAAGTTACATTAATGTTTAAATATTTGTATTTTAGGACCAGTGTTCAACAGAATGGAGTAGATTCTCGTGTTACAACTCAAACAACAAGAGAAGAGGTAAACAATATCTATATTAATTATTCTATCAGTTCAGGGTTGGGGATGGTCGGATGGTAGTTGGTTAGCATGTGCGCGCTGTATCATAAGGTCTGTCATTGAGTCAACTAACATTGGTTTCGATTCCCCGGTTGTACGTGACAAGGAGTAGGATCACCTATGCAGACTTGTAGGTTCTCTGGTTTTCTCCCACTGCTTTGGTGTTGGGGAGGGGGATGGCTGAATGTTTTTCTCCGGGTCCTCCGGTTTCCTTCCACTGCTAAAGATCCCTACGCGCAAGTGAATTATTGAAATAAAATTGAACCATGTTAGTCCTGAAAGGACGTAGATTGTCTCGAGTGGACGTTAAACCCCATTTCACTCTATCATATCAGTTCAGGGAGTAGCATTGACTCAGGGAGTAAGACACTGACTCGCTAGCCTGGAGGTTTCGAGTTTACGCCCAGGTGTTGACTGAGAATCTTTCTCAGGATTTTCTTGCGTGGTTCCCCCCCCCCCGTCAATGGTGCAGGACAGAGGGCGCAGCGTATAGTTGTTCGAAGGGGACCCATGTAGGCATTGGTGTACATGTAAAATAACCCTTGACAAAAAACAATACAAATGCCCATGTAAAAGAGGAGAAAAGAGAAAGACAAACTACAAATCGCCAGTTTCTGGAATGGTGAACTTTAATTGTGATCTTTCTCCAGTTAAGACTATTTTGGATGGTCCATGAGCTAAAGAATTAGATCCTAATTCATTTTAATTCTGTTGCAGTCCTTTTGAGATTTGTTTTCTATCTTCCACAGGTACGTCAGACTGAAATATCAAAGAACATGGCTAACATGGCTGCTCCTGCTGCTGGTTTTGATGATGATGATGAAGATGATGAGGGCGTGTATGAGAATGTCCCCTCAGCTCCACGAACAGATGTATTTAGAGAAACAGATGCTAAAGTTGATGTCGAACTTCCCCAATCTGGTAGAGCGTCAAACATGAGAGAACGCTTCTTGAAATTAGCAGGGGAAAGTGCTGCTGGTGCTCGAACCGCTGACCGTGAATTGACCCCACCTCCAACAGTAAAAGGTAAAGTTGAAGCCGGTGTCTTTGAGAGTCAACCTTCTCCGAAAAGAACTGATGTCTATCGCCAGGAAACGAGACAGGAAGTTGTTTTACCTGAGAAAGGTAAAGCTTTGAATACTGTACAAAAATACAAAGAAATAGCAAGTAAGGAATTCAAAGGACCCGCCAACAAAAGGGAGATCACTCCAGACCGTTCGGGTGTTGTAGAATATGTGAGTGAACCCAGAGCAGAGCATATGACCTACGAAGAAAAACCTTTGGAGGCTGGTATATTTGAAAGCAAACCTACTGTAATCGAGAATGTGTCTCGCTACGAGGACTATGTGCCTGATGCTCGCCCTCAGTCTGGAACGGCTAAAAGTATCGCTTCTAAGTACAAGGAGATAGAACGAAATGCTGCTTTGCCACAGGCTGCTGCTAATAGAAGGGAAATAACTCCAGATAAGAGCGGCCCCAATGAATTTGTCTCTGAACCAAGAGGACAACATATTACCTATGAAGAGAAAGTCGAAGCTGGTATATATGAAAATGAACCTGCACCAGTTAGACAAGATATCTACCGACACGAAGAATATTACGTCGAAGAACCCTTACCAGAAAAAGGTTATGCCAAGAATCTTGCTGCAAGATTTCGCGAGATTGAACAAAAAGCTGCCATCCCCAGAACCTCAGGTCATCGAGTATCTCCACCGAAAGATGATAATAGGAATGTCTATGAAAATGAGCCAACTGCTTCTCCAGTTACTTATAAAGAAGCAGTAGTGCAACCAGATGTTGTTCCAGAGAAAGGTCTTGCAAAAAATTTGGCCTCAAGATACAAGAAAATAGAAGAAGAAAACCTTAAAGCTCGATCTGGCAACCGTCAAGTCAAGGAATTCACACCACCCAAGGATGAGAGGACCGTTTTTGAAAGTGCTCCAACACCCTCGAGATTACAGTATGAGGAAATTGTACCAGAAAGTGGTATCCTAGAAAGCCAGCCAACAGTACGCGACGATGTATACCGGTACACTGACGCCAAAGATATCGAAGTCGAATTACCAGAACGAGGTGCCGCCAAAAATCTCCTGTCAAAATGGAAACAGATAGAGAGTGAGAGTGCTAAAGGATCTCCACCGACCCCTGGTCGAGTGAAGGAATTTACGCCACCAAGAGAAGAAGAAAGAATAAAACAGTTACGGAGTCCCAAAACACCCCCTAGTGGTCAGAATAATAGTGTACACCCTAACGACCTCCCGGGACAATATCACCCAATTAACGAACCCACCGTTTTCGAGAGTAAACCAACTCCACAACGAGAAGATTTGTATCGAGAAGCAGATACTGATTGGACCGTTGGTTTACCAAAAGCCAATAAAACTAAAAAGGTCCTCGCTAAGTTCCAGGCGATTCAGGCTCAAACAACGTCGTCATCTCCTGTGAGTAGGAAGGCACATGTGAGTATATTTTATATACCAATATTTAATTGATTATCACGAACACTTAATTTTTTCAAATCATCCCTAAGTTCCCAGATTTATCGGGTGTTTTATAATGGTCAAGAAAAGATGATGAGCATGCATATCAAATCATTCACTCATTTTTTTAAAAACTAAATTGATATATGTACAAATCATTGTTTCATTTATTTGTACTAAAATAATATTCATACAAATCATTGAATCATTTATTTGTAATAAGATAATAGTTGTACGAATCATTAAATCATTTATTTGTACTAAAATGATATATGTACAAATCATTGAATCATTGTTTCTTGAGTGTTTCATCAAACATATCATTATAAAATACCTAAATCCCCTTATAGGCCTGTATATATTCATGTAGTATAGCTTACCACATAGAGAGGCTATTAGGCCAATAATTAATGAAATATAGCTTACAACATAGACAGATGCTATAATAGGCCTGTAATCCATCTAGTATAGCATACAATATAGAGAGGTTATTATAGGCCTGTATGTAATTCATGTAGTATATTATAGCTTACCACAAAGAGAGGCTATTATAGGCCTGTAATAATTCATGTAGTTGTTTCAAATTATATTATCTTCCAATGATTCTGTGAAATTAGTGGATATTGTTTCATGGTGTTTATCCAGTAACATGACATCCATATAGTTTAATGACTACCTTGAGGTTGGGTATTAAAGAGCCATTATGTAAGATCTAAATCTGCCTGTTGCAGGTCATTTTATTTTTCTGGCTTCCAATACTTTATGAATTATTATTTGACATTTATTCACATGGCAAGCCAATAATCAATTCTCTAGACCATCGGATGGATAACGATTTGCGCTATTTATTGTCAAAACTTCAAACACTCATAACTTGGCTCAAAATAAAGTAACGTGACTGATTTTTTGTTGAATAATTATAGATTATTATCATAGCAATGGTATTTAACTATCACTGCAACCAGGGTATTATTTAGTCTTGTGTATTTAGCACTAATTTCTTTCACATTCGTTTAATATGAAATCTTTGTTTGAAAATTTGTAAAAAATCGTTTAAAATCACCAAATTAAATACTTGTAAATTGGACACTCATTATCAAAATTAATAAGTCAGATTTAAACTTGACACAAGTACAAATAAGATGATTTTGTGGGATTTTTATGAATTTTTAAACAGAGATTTTATATTAAACGAATGTGAAAGAAATTAGTGCTAGATAGACAAGATTAAATGATGCCCGGGTTACAGTGGCTATGAAGGATATTTATTGTCAAAACTTCAAACATTCATAAAGTAACTTGACTGAAATTTTCAAAATATTCACATTCTATTATCTATTGTTGAATTATTATCACAAGAACAGCCAGCTCTTTAATCTCTATCTAAATCTTACATAATGCTTCTTTAATTAAATTGTGAGAGAAGGAGGTGAGAGTCATTGGATGATAGATGGTGATTGGGACTATATTATCTTGAATATCCAGTCTTTCTTCATGTATCTATATATCTTCATCCCCTTCTTTGCTTTTTAGGATGATATGGATATCCCCACTCCTGTTAGAGAAAATAAGGTTCGTTTAAAAATAACACAAAACAATGATATTTCAAAAAGAACCTTTTTTGTTGCAATCTTAATTTATTATGAAATACTTGTAATACGTGTATGTCAGGTGAAAGCAAACAGAAAAGCATGCCCGCTTTATTATTTATTTTTTAGAAAGACTTCGTTTATACTTGCATTGTTCTTGAACTTTAGTTAAACATTATTCTGATATCTATTTAAGTCTACCCTTCATTAACAGTATTATACACAACTTGAAATTTTATTGAAGGAATCAATTGTTTTATAAAATCGAATTTACCAAATTCCTCTTGAGTAACACTAAAATGTTATTCTGGTTTGAAACAAACATGGTGATCTTCCCTGTACACTTTTTGCACACTGTAACACTTCGTCTAAATGTTCTCTTGTTTTCAAAAATTTGTTTTCTGTCATTTTCACATTGTCTTACAACTTTTGCACATCGTAACGTTTCGTCTAAATGTTCTCTTGTTTACAAGTTTGATGTTTACCAAAATTTGTTTTCTGATCTGTACATCTTCATTTTGTCAAACACTCCAATGTATTCAACATTAACTATTACAGAGTTGTTTGTCTAGATGGGGGGGGGGGATGGTTAACATGTGCGCATTGCAATGTAAGGTCTGTCATTAAGTCAAGTGGCGTGGTTTCGAATCCCAACTTGTACGTGACAAGGAGTCAACCTTTTGGGTTGTCTCCTGGTCCCCGGGTTCCCCCCCACTGTTAAAGACCCCAACGCGCAAGCGAATTAATGAAATAAAATTGAACCTTATGTTAGTCCCGAAATAACATAGTTTGTGTCGAGTGGACGTTAAACCCCATTTCCCTCTAACTATTAAATTTGGTGGCGGTCATTTAAATTTTTAATGCTTTAATCAACGCTAAAATGTAGGCAAATTAACATTTGTGTTTTCAGTCTCCAACTACATCTCCCCGGCCTATAGAAAAAGAACACAAGCTGGTGGTAAAATGTCAATTTATTAATCTCTATCGTATAATTAAGCAATCAGTGCTGGATAATATCCTGGCCTGGATTCAATCACATTAAAAATATGCCCATCGTAATTCAAAGTCATTTAGGCATAAACACAACTTAATCGTTAAAGTGCTTTTGATCATAAGGTCTGTCAAATGGCTTGTACATGACAAGGAGTAGGGTCGTCAGCTTAACTTCTCAGGTGTTCTCCGGGTCCCCTGGTTTCCTGCCACTGCTAAAGACCCTCCGCAAAAGTGAGATTACTGAAATAAATATCCCTGAACCCTGTTGAAAGTCAATGGTGAAAACGTTTTAGTACATGTAATACTGGACGATGTGAAGATGATTTTATGTTTTTTGGGGTTTTTTTTTTTATTTTGTTCTCGTGACACATGTTCTGTTTCTTCTATTCACTATCTGTATTTCGTATCTGTGCACTCTGATCTGTCTTATCACCAATCCTTGTTTATTTATGTTTTTCATCAAGGGGCCGGTGTCGGGGATGGGAGTGGGGTGTACATCGATTGAATTAAGAATTAAAGGCATGTAATAACTAAATGTCTTAAAGATTTCAAAACATGGATTACGTTCAGTTCTGTTATTTGTTTCGTCAAGAGTGGTCGGGGTCGGGGAGGGTGTGCATCAGTTGAATTAAGAATTTAAGGCATGTAATAAAAAACATCTTAAAGATTTTAAAGCATGGATTAGTTTCAGTTCAGATATTCAGTTTGAAATTATAGATATTGCATGATGATTATATTGCTACACCTTGTTTTAGGGGTTGGGGGGGGGGGGGGGGTGGAATATATGTTCCATTGTCTAAGGGAGGGAATCAAATTTTGATGAATGCTGCTTATCTACTACATATAGGAATGTTATTGTAAGACCCCTATGTGCAAGCGAATTATTGAAATAAAATTGAACCATATGTTAGTCCCAAAATGACCCAGTTTGTGTCGAGTATACATTTTCTGAAGAATAGTAAAAATTCAGATCCAACAATCTTCAACCCACCAGATAAATTTTACCCATCACATGAAAGGTTTTGTCCTACAAATAGACAAAAAAATATCAAGATATAAATTCACTTGGCCCTTACAAATCTATTGCTTTCTGATTAGAACAATTGTGTCCTGTCAACTTTTAAAAATATCTAGTAGTAGATCTAGAGCATTCATCAAGTTTGAATTACCAAAACTTTTGATGCTCGGGTACAATATTTAGTAGCAATAAATATTTATATAGAGAATGAAACAAACTTGTAGAATTCGAAGCCATAATTTGGATATTTTAAATATTAATCAGCATCTTGATATATTAGAATTTAGTTATTTTAGTTATTTTTTTTCCCTTGAAATAAAATTTTAATCCCTTTTTTGTCTATAACTCTTTAGTTTTGATATTTTGATACTAATTGTGTGATGTTTGTTTTTGTTTTTTTTTCTACTAATGTGGATGCTTTAGCCTAAAAAAGCTGGACATTTTGTTGCTGTGCAGAATGAAAAATGTGGAGCTTGCCAGAAAACAGTTTACGCCATGGAAAAAGTCGAAATGAACAAAAATGCGTATCATCGAGCTTGTTTCAAATGCTCACAGTGTCGAGCAGTACTCACGTAAGATTTTAACATTGTACCGATATACCACCATCAAAACAGAATAAGCCAGTTCGGAAAAAATAATTTCATGTGACCTTTTAAATATGGTTTGTATCTAGTCATGCTGAGGTTAGGTAAACAAATTAACAATTCATGTTTTAGAACCCTATAAAGTTAGAATTTATATTTATTGGTTCGGATATAAAGGAAAGTGCATGTTCCATGTACAAATTGACAATCTATGTCTCAGAATATTGTATGTAGTCTTTCTGATATAAAGTAAGGCTAAAGTTCCGCGTACAAATTGACAATCTATGTTTTCCAACACTTAAAAGTTGAAATCCATATTTAGTAGTTCTGATGCAATGTAAAGGAAAGCCAAGGTTCCATAAACAAACTGACAATGCATAGCTAACTTCATATTCAAATTCGCCCCACTCCCCCCTCTTAAAATTGAAATTATGACCCACGTAAATAATTACTGAACCAGAAATTTAACTACAGTCCATTTTTTCTACACTGGCTTATTCTTTTTTGATAAATTATTTTAATCATAAATGACAGTCCGTTTAAAATGGATGAAGACCACTGAAGAGGAGTTGTTCCAGATGTTAAAAACCCCCTGAAGAATGCATGATTATATAATTGCTTGTCAATTACTTTAAGAATTGAGATTAGAAAATAAAGACAATTTGAGAATGTTTACTAAAAACAACCACCGGTGAACCATTGTGTAGCCGAGTGTTGACTACTAATAATCAGTATTATATAGATACGGGTTAGCATCAATCTGTGTTCTGTACTGGGGATTTTGAAATGTTTTATTTCCTCATCTCAAGATTTCTAGCTCAACCCGCACCTTAAATACAATAGCTCCAACACATTTTATCTTTTACACAATTCACTCATTTGACATAGAATTCAGGGATTGTTGGGTCCATTTGGGAACATTTTTGGTAATTCAAAAGCTGTTGGGTCCAATTGGGAACATTTTTGGTAATTCAGGAGATGTTGGGTCCAATTGGGAACATTTTTGGTAATTCAGGAGCTGTTGGGTCCAATTGGGAACATATTTGGTAATTTAGGAGCTGTTGGGTCCAATTTTACTTGACCAGATTATACTGTAGATTATCCAAGCCATGGGGACCAAATTGAGCTCTTCGGAGCTCTTCGAAGCAATTGGGAGCAATTTGCTTAAAGCCGATAACAGTGGGACGTTAAGCCAAATTCCATTTCATTTCGTTTAAAACTGATACCGAGTTGACCAATTAAGCCCATGGATGACATTTGGAATGTGGGGAGGTATGTGAGAAATTAAGCATAGGTTTAGAAGGAGGGAGCAATTCACTAAAAGACAGCACTGGTAATAACTCAAAAGGAAAATAATAATTCTAATTTGAAATTGATATTTTTGAGTTTGAAACTTGAGTAAATCTTGAGGTGAGTAAAGATTAGGTTTTATGATCCCAGAACACAGCTATTAGAGTTTGTAATGCATGGTCCAAATTTGAGCATGGTGTTCATTCATGGCATGAGCATTTTGATGTCATAATCATCATTGCTTCACGAAAGAACAGTCTGTGGAGATGTTCACGGTAATATGTCTGTTGAAATTACATCTGATTAAAACACAGATCCTATTTCATTTCATTTTTTATAGTTCAAAATTTCGTTTTACTTGTTTTTACTACACTAGGTTCTGGAAGAGTTGTTATATAGCAGGAGTTCTGGATGATGTGAAGGATTAGCCAATGAAACGGTCTGTTAATGCGAGTTTTTGGCATGAGGACCACACACGGAACTGTGGGTAACCCACTAGAAACATCAACACTGATTAGTTAATCAAATGTCTGATGTCATAGGGTCAAAAGCCATTTGTATGATCTCTGATGCAACCTTCCACTGCAACCAGTCAGATCTTCATGTTGTAAAGAAAAGAAAAAAAAGAAACGAAATATAGATCTGTATTTGGTTGAAATTATATCATTTCATATTTTCCATGTATTTCCTTCAGGAACATGACCGGTAATAAACAATGGGTTGACTTTATATGCAGCCTGGTTTGAATTGCTCACAATTTTCATTTGATTTAGACTGATCCAATGTTTCTCTTTAGCTGATCATGGAAGATATATGTGATTGGAAGACATCAGTGGAACTGAGCTGATGTGTATATATTCTTATTTATTCCTTTATTCTTTTCAGGCCTAAAACTTTCGCCATCAACGCTGGCACTATGTTTTGTACAAGTCACTATAAACAGCTTTTTGCACGCAAGGGGAATTATGACGAGGGATTCGGCAGACCACAACATAAAAAGAAATGGAAGAGTGAATCAAATTTATTAGACGGAGAATTACATGAAATGGAACATGAAATAGAAGCATAGAATTTGAAAATAAAATAATATCTTATATAAAAAAATATAAACTTTTATAATATTAACATCAACCTTGTATTATAGGATTTAATATATAATCAGATATTTTATGGGAAATATTGAAAACTCTGAAAATTTGTACAAAATAATCAAAGAATGCATGCACAGAAAATCTATAAATAGAACTGTCAATCAAATATGTAAATATATACCAGACTGCCACCATTACGGTGATTTGTTTAATTGTGATATTTCATATCGCGAAATACCAAAGTTATTAAATAATTCGTCGTAGTACCATTCATCAATTTCTTTTGATATAGTTTTGAAAATGTCCCCCATATTTACATAGTTAATAATAGATTAAATAATTAAACTTATGTCTGATTGGTCGAATCTGCCTTGTCCCTCATGAAAGAAGTGATATGATTGGATGCGTTGAGTGATCTGTGTATGAAGATTATAGACATTGCTCTGTCAAGTTTGGTGCGCTAATAATTGTTAGGTTTTTTTTTTATTTGTTTATACGTACGTTTCATATCATGCTTTGATAAGAATTATTATATATTTTTTTGTTTCGAACAAATCGAAAGAGGGAGGAGAGTTATGACATACGACAAAAAAGAAAAAAAATCAAATGAGAAACAAGTTTCACAAATTATCTCCCCTATTCATGTATTTATATCAATGTATATTTATATTCTTTGTGTATTCTTCCCCTGTAGAAATATCGTATCTAGCCCCTTTTATTTTAGTATAAATATTTATTAAACCTTGGAGCCAATAGTTTCCAAAAGAAACAGTATTTGAAATTAAGAGCATTGACTTTCGCATTGTGCCCCTTTTATTTTAGTATAAAATACTTATTGAACCTTGGAGCCAATAGTTTCCAGAAGAAACAGTATTTGAAATTTTAGCCTAAGTGTATCGACTTTCGCATTGCGCAAAAGTAAAGCTTGTAATCCTAATGTTTATTGTTTATCTTTAAAAATAATAATGATATTTACCAAATAATCAGAATAACTATGGATAAGTGAAAAAATGTGTAATTAAATCTTGCTCAATGTTTCCAAAAAAAAAAATGATTAAAAAATTTAAAATTGATGATAAAAGGTTTAGGCTGTGTTCACAGTAGTTAACTTTGAGTAAAACATAGTTTTGAATAGCATTAAAAATATTGTTCTAAACCTGTTTTGAAATGGGTAAAACCAATGTGAACACAGCCTTAGGCCAAGATGTGTAGTGAGGAAACCATAGGGGTAGTCGATTAAATGTTATGGAACAGAAATTCAATCCCAGATAACATGGTGATGTGAATTTTACGTTACTTTTACGTCATTTGAGTTAAACTTTAGAAATAGGATGTAAATCTAGCGTTAATTTTATGACGGTTTTCTTACTAATTCTTTTAAACATGATGCATTCGGTGACGGAATATTATTCAACATTATCGATCAATCCCTACAACTGAATCTCTTGATTCCGTTATAATTCTGTTCACACCAGGACTGTGACAGGACTTGACGCCATATTCTGTTCCAGGCTAACAGTCGAGCAACCCCTATGTGTGACTCAAAAGAGGCATAATTTATATAAAGCATTTTATAACTGATTTGTTTAATAGATTAATTGTTCTATAAAAGCTTGATAGTAGATAATTAAGAGTAAAGTATAAAGCGCTGCTTGCACAAACTAACACAAAATATACAGAGGACTATATTAGGCATCTTGCTAACCTACAATGGTATAAGAGATGAAGAGATATCTTGGTAAGAAGATATCCTCAACAAGTGAAATTAAATTGTTGTTTAATCACCTCTGAGTTACAAAAAAAAAACCAGTCAGAATTACTAAATATACTAATACTTAATATTAAAATCAAAACTTTCAATATTTTTGTAGTTTGTAATTTTATAAAATTATTTGAATTCTTACATTTTCAATGTGCTTAAATCGATCTCTTAAATATACCCATGATTTAAGATAAATATGTATGGGCTATTTTACTTATTCTCATTGCAAAGTTATTTATAATTGTTTTCTTTTATGTGTTCAATCAGACATATCTTGTTTAACCCAGATGCTAAATACCATCAATTGTAACACGTGGTGCAGCCTAAAGAAAATCAGTTATACGCATGACAAGAGTGCCATAACAAAAGCCTCACTTACTTTAGCAGCTCGAGTACTTTTGAACTCCTGTGTGCAAAATAATGGTGCTAAATGGCCACAAGACATGTTTTATTTGAATGACGAAATACTCATCTTGCGGTCAGCCCAGTAAAACAGATGTATCATGTGGAAGGACAAAATAACGTTAGCTGGAAGAATTAAACAAAATGTTACCAGTAGTGGTTGGGTTAAAGTTTTTAGAAATTTCTTTGGGTCAGCTGGATTTGATTAAAACACTTATTCCAGATGGTCAAATCATAGAAATATTCTGTCATCAAAGCATCTGGGTTTTTCAAGATTTGATAAATGATGATATTCTATACAACTATTTATAATAACTTTCTTCGTATCAATCAGATTAAAATCTGATGCTCATTTCGTTTCACTTTATTTTTGTATGTTAGATGACCACTGCAATCATTTCTGGCATAATCAGATCACCAATCCAAATGTCTGTATTGGTATACAGTGCTGCCTATCCTTGTTAATTATGGGAATGATTCTTATTGGATTTATGACAATTTGGAATGTGACACCTTAGTGTCGAAATTGGTATACAGGGCTGTAAGTTATGAGAAGGATCCTGGACATTGATTGTCTAATTTTATGATCAGAATAGAACTAGCTGTGACAGAACATGGTGATGTGATAGAAATATGGAAAACTTTAAACAGAACGAAACATGGTAGAAACTTGGAAAGGTTACAGATTAGCGTGAAAAAAAAAATGTGAACGAAATTTTTAATCTAATTTTAATCTGATTGTCTTTATGTCATATTAAATAAATTGATCATCTATTTGTATCTCATGTTTATATCTGTACATTGCTGCTATCTGTTGTAGTCAATATCTCATTATAATCATATTGTATATTATATTTAGCTCATTCTTATTCTATAAGAACTATGAGGCTTGTACGTATCAAAATGACTTTTTACTTTTGTTAATGATGTAGTATTCATTGTGTATCTTTTGTGCTATTTATACTTTTTGTCATCTAGGAATTTTAATTCAGTATTGTCTGTGGCTATCTTTTTCGATTGCAATGATTTATGATAATGGATGTGAATGGATGATGATGATTAAAGGGGGGTAATTAGGTAATTATTCAAGGGAGATAATTGCAAGATTGTAGTTGTTGAGCTGATTGGTTTCAACAAGGATGACGTAAAGCACTTTTGAATTATGCAAGTTTAATTAGTTATCAATCTTTGTTTATGGTTTAAAAAATTGATTGTGCTTAGTTTTTGTAACTCTTATCATTGCAATAAATCATGACGCTTAATTCACACACATCTAGCTATCTTGTGTTCATTATTGGGAAATATGTCCAACATGTAGGGGCCCCCGCCCCCACACTCCACCCCAACTCCCACTGCTAAAGAACCCTACGTGCAAGCGAATAATTGAAATAAAATTAAAATAAATGTTAGTCCTGAAATGACCTTGTTTGTGTTGAATGGACGTTAAACTACATTTTCTCTCTCCTTTATTGGGATCACGGTGGGTAAGACGCTGGCTCGCTAGTCTGGAGGTCGGGTGTTCGATCCCTGCATTGGCCGAGAAAGTTCATCCAGATTTTCCGGCGTGGTTCTCCCTGGTCAGTGATGCAGGAAAGAGGGGCTGACAAGGAAAGATGTCTAGTCGTTCGGATGGGACGAAAAACCGAGGTCCCGTGTACACATTGGCGTGCACGTAAAAGATCCCTTGACAGTTGGAATTCGATATAAGAGTAGGCCGTAGTGCCGCTGTCCGAGCAAAATGTCCCTCATAACACACTGTATGGCGTATGCACGTCTTCTTTGGCCCAGTTCGGAGCAAAACAGTAGGACGTTAAACCCCATTTCATTTCATTTCATTTCTTTACTTTATTGGGAAAAGTTGTGCAGGATAGAGGACCTAGAAACAGACAGTGTATAGTCATTCGGATGGGAAGGAAAACCGAGGTCCTTGTGTACACAATGGCATGCAGGTAAAGGAACCCTTGGCAGTTGAAATTCGAAATAAGTGCGGCTGTCTGAACAAAATTTCCCTCTTAACACACACATGTATGTCCGTCTCCATTAGCCCAATCGGTATACAACAAGAGGTCATGTCTTTCCACCAAAGTTTGTATGAGGTAGACTACCAACATTTTGAGATACACACAGGCCCGTAGCCAGAGGGGGGCAATGCCCCCCCCCCCCGAAAAACAAAAATGCCGATCATAGCTCTAAAATACCTACTGTAGACTGTGCCCCCCCCTAAAAACTTCACTGCCCCTCCGAAGCTAGCAAGCTGGCTACAGGCCTGGATACACAAACTTGAATTAGCATACTCTGTTATCCTTCCTCTCCAAAGTCATGAATATTTACCGAAACCTGGCAGAAAATATTAATTCAACACCTCTTCGTCCATTCTAGACCAAGAGAGAGGGGGAGAGAGAGTGCGAGCTGCCTGAACTGATTTCCTGTCCTACTGAGACCGACAGCCAACAAGTACGGATGTGACAAAGTACTCTATAACTTCCACCAAATTGAACGATCATTTAGATGCTTAGAACGTATTGAACCAAGCTGTTTTTTTGATAATATATGATATTGTCTTTTCAACTCTATATACATGTACTTCTTTTTTAGTCACGTTCTAATTAAACATGTAATTAATCCCATATGTCATTTACAGACTACATATGATCTGGGTTTAAGCTCCACGTGACTTCAAAGGAATACGCACTGGTGAGTAATCATACAGTGACGTGGTAAGAAGACAATTCCATATATGATCATGCGTCTTATCTATTTTCCCTATTCGTGGGACCCTATATAACAGGAGTTTGCGGACAGTTAGACGACCAGAGACGAGCGGGGTGGAAAATAGAGGCTTGGGCGAGTGCATGGTCTCACCCGAGTTTAGCGGCTGCCTTGGCAGAGGTGCGGAATGGTGGATTTAATATAGTTATATACCGTCCTGATGCGTTCCTGTCGTAGAGAGAGAAATGGGGTTTAACGTCCACTCGACACAAACTAGGTCATTTCGGGACTAACATATGGTTTAATTTTTTTATTTGCGTGTAGGGGTCTTTAGCAGTGGGAGGAACCCGGAGAAAACCCACGAGGTTGGACAGGCGACCCTACTCCTTGTCACGTACAACCGGGGATTCGAGACCACACCAGTTGACTCAATGACAGGCTTTATGATACACCCCCACCCCCCGTTCCTATCGTAGTCTAGTTTCTGTTTAAAATATGTTCTTGTTGTAAACCCTATGTACGAAACTTATATCAGTTATCACTAAGATAGTGTTATACGGAGGATTGATCTATTGTGCATGTAAGCACAAGGGGACACAATGTTGTCATTAGAGCAATGTGGATATGATGACATTGACGCGGGCATTTCATGGGTATCTGAGGTAATTGTTTCGAAATTCGGGGACACAGTTTCAGAAGAGAGGGCACTTTTGCGCAAGCGCTGGTACAGAGCCACGCACTCACCTGTGCCCTGATAGGAAATCGCATTGGGTTCGAGGGTTAGTTTCGTTTTGCCATTGCCTACTCACAAAGCACGCCCCTGTAGGGTCTCTTTCCTACCCTTGTAGGTTTTGCGCCCCCCCCCCCCCACACACACACAGCTAACGTCTTCTACACGCAAACGAATTATTAAAATAACATTGATCCATTTGTTAGTTCCGAAATGGTCTAGTTTGTGTCGATTGGGCGTTATTTCCACCCCACCCCATCTCCCTCTCGCTCTCTCTTCAGAAACAATAACGAAAATAATAAACAACTTTCGTGGACTCATCGGACGACCGACAGCATTTACAATATTCCATAAATTATTGCCGTAGATGACTGGGGTCTTCCTAAACCCAGTCTATTTTTGCTTAAAGCCAATGAGCTATCCATGAATCAGTAAAAGATCAAACAAATAATCGTTTACTATGGGCCTTGTACCTTTAAAATGTTTCAAATTACTTTTAATAATATTTTATAAGCTTGTACCGTGTGTTCAAAAATAAAATAAAACTATACAGTGACTAACGGACTAAAACAAAAGTCGACTGTGAAACATTATCTTTTTATGATGACAAATTATAGGATGTATAAATGGATAAAAGCAACATTGTTGCAACATAGTTCCGTTTCGTCCTGCATAACAACAACAGCAGACGTGTAACCATAACAACAATAGACGTGTAACCATAACAACAATAGACCTGTAACCAGAAACAAATCTGTCATATTAGATAGAAAATATGAATATATCATATCAACTTAGTTACTGCTAAATTAAACGATTATAATCAGATGAAAGTAGCAAACATAGAAAATGAAAGTAGGGATACAAGTGCAATTAACAACCCTATAAATGTAACTAGAAACAGACCTGTCATATGAGATAGAGAATATAAATACATCAATTCATCTCGTCTAACATTTATGATCATTAATTTATAATTAATGTTATACTAGACCAACCACGCCTTGTTCATTTGCTATAACCAGACATCTGACAAGGACAGCTATCTAGTCGTTCGGATGGGACGAAAAACCGAGCCCCGTATATACATTGGCGTGCATGTAAAAGATCCCTTGGCTGTTGAAATTCGATATAAGTGTAGGTCATAGTGCCGCTGCCCTGGCAATCTTTCCCTCATAGTACACTGTATGGCGTATGCCTGTCTTCATTAGCCTAGTTTCGGAGCACAACAGTAGGACGTTTAACCCTATTTTATTTCATTTTCATATTATTTTATATCCAGACAATTTTATTTCGTTAGGTCCCTGAACGGACGAATCACCTGTAAATTACAGCATTGTGAAAGTGCTAGATGTATTTATAAAAATATGAATTAATCAGATGTTAAATTTGTTTTCTAGTTCAATTTTATTGATATTTCTACCCAGCGGTTTTGAATAAAGATTGGGGGGGGGGGGAAACCAAATGGTTAACGCGTACGCGGTGTATGATAAGGTCTGTCATTGGGTTTGTCTGGCGTGGTTCCGATTCCCCGGTTGTACGTGACAAGGAGTAGGATCGCCTGTCCAACCTCGTGGGTTTTCGCCGTGTCCTCCATTTTCCTCCCACGACTAAAAGACCCCTACGCACAAGCGAATTATTGAAATAAAATTGAACCATATGTTTGTGTCGAGTGGCCGGTACCACCCCCCGCCCCACCCCCTCTCTCTCTCTCCCTTTCTCTCGTTTTATAACCTTTATTATTAGCTAAAGAACATCCCAATATTATTAATGAATATAGATTTTAGGTTTACAAGATCGTAATATAAAACATCTTGTAATTCAATCTCTTACATTGCCGTTCATAAAGTCCCCAGTAAGGCATTTTAATTAATATTTGTAGTAGGACGTTAAACCCCATTTCATTTCATTTCATTAATATTTGTTGGAAATGAAAAAAAGAGTGTCATTTGCTGTCTAGACATGGAGTTGTTCATAAGACTTCTGGTTTCCTGTATTTTTAATGCAATGGTAGCAACAGGTAGGAACAAATATATATTTTTTTCTTCTAAAATCTAATATATTTGCAAGCTGAGCAATGTATATCTGCAATATTGTAGCGGTGTCGTGTCTTGTACGCCGCTACAATTAATACACTCTACGAGGCTTTGTGCAAGCCAACATAGCTCCAAACTATCAACACAAATTAAAATTAAAATTTTCAAGCTCAGCAATGTATTTTCTACAATAGTGTAGCGGTGTCGTGTCTTGTACGCCGCTACAATAAATGACACTCTACGAGGCTTTGTGCAAGCCAACATAGCTCCAAACGCAAACTTATCAACACATATTAAAATGAAGAATTATGTGACAAATAAGGAGAGAGTGGGTCACTGAATATTTACCGAGCAGTTTGTCGTGATGGTAGGCGATATTTCTAATGATGTAGAGGACTCCAAGCGATATCTTGCCTCATATGGCGTTGCATTAACCCCGCCCATCGCTTTACTATAAACACATACGATTAGCATATACATATGGACATGGACCCCATATATGGAAATTGGCGTATGATCACGTGCGACGTGAATGTTTCTTGTTTTGACGGTATTAAATGGACAATAGCACTCTTGCTGGCTTGACAGCTCCAGTAAATAAATATTAGCCTTATTCTAAGTATTAGATGTTTAAGTGTCCTACCTGTTGTGTAAATTATCCATTACATCCTATTTTACTCGTCCAGAGGGTTCGAAAATATTTTTAAATCCAAGTCACATTTGAAAAGGTTTACGTTAGGCTTTTCAAATCATTTAGTTGAATTTTTCCAATTGTTTAAATTAGGTTTTGTTAAAGA